ACGTGTATACGTTTGACAAAGGTAAAAACAATCTACTTCTTTATGACGTCCCATACTGAAGTAATTTCTCATAACATTTTGTTTATCACAGGCTACATCATCAAAAATAAATATTGAGTTTCGTTTTACATCTTCAGGCGGTGGAATGTTGTCGCAATTAATGAAGGAGTAATATCCAATTCCTTTTATTGGTTTTAGAAGCTCTTCTAAATACTGATATTTTGACTGATAGAGAGACTTGGAAAAAATATAAATATTTTCAAACTTCAATCCATTAGGATGCTCGATTAAACTAATCATAACATTCGTTTTACCACAGTTTGATGGGCCAACAACCAAACAACGAATTGTGGATGGTAACAATTCTCCATGCCTCTTCAGAAGTTTTTTTTCTTCGATATCATTGTTGTTAATGGGTAAAACCGTTGACTGTTTTACAATGCGCATGACGAAAGCAATACTATAAATAAAGCCTAGTCTATAATTCTCTACTTATATATTAAATGTGATATTGATATTATCATCATTCTTGAGTAGTTTGTAGAGCCAAATGCTTCGAACAGCAAGAAAATCAGGCAGTGGTATATTAAACTCTGTTATAAATAATTTACCAGTAGAGCTCCATATTCCAGGATATAAATTTTGTGGTCCTGGTACAAAACTTGCGAAGAGATTAGCAAGAGGTGATGTGGGTATTAATGGTTTAGACGAAGCTTGTAAAGAACACGACGTGGCTTATAGCAGAGAGAAAAACTTGGAGCAACGACATAAGGCAGATCAAATTTTGAGCGAGAAGGCTGTGGAGAGATTTAAATCATCAAACGCATCTGTAGGAGAAAAGGCAGCAGCTTTGGCTGTGGCAACAGCAATGAAAGCTAAAGTTAAATTAGGAATGGGATGCGTTAACGAAAAAACTAAGAAAAGAAAAAGTAAAACTGGTAAACGTAAAGTGAAATCTAAAAAAGTTGGGGGATCATTAGCATTTAAAGATGTAGCAAAGCAAGCACGAGTAGCGTTAAAGGGTAAAAATGTGAAGAATATGAAAGATGCTATTAAAGTTGCATTAAATGCTGTTAATAAAATTAAGAAGAAGAAGAAACATATTAAAGCTGCCCGAGTAATCCCAATACCTAAGACAGGAGGATTTCTACCACTAATCCCATTATTTGCAGGCTTAAGTGCGCTTGGTGCTTTAGGTGGTGGAGCAGCAGGAATTGCAAAGGCTGTTAATGATGCCAAAGATGCAAAGCAAAAGCTTGAAGAAAGTAAA